TATCCTGGACAAGCTCAGTGTCTATAGACTGTTCCATTTCATCTTAGTCAAGGTCGACAGTATCCTGGATAAGTTCAGGGTCTATAGACTGTTCCATATTCAAGGATAGGCCACCTTCTACACAGTCATCTTTCCATCTATCTTTATTTCATCAGGTTTGCACTCATTAGGTCTGTCTAGACCTCTTGGTGATAAGGTGGAATTGCAAACTTATCCCCTTCATCTCCATTCCCAGACCTACAAACCTAGGGTTATCAGTTCTCCATCAATAAGCTAGCGAGTCAAATTCAGCAGCGGTTATCTACTTGGCTTTGTGGTAACACATTCCCAGGAAGATAATGATGACCAGAGAATATCTAGCTGTGGTCAGGGGTGCTTTGCTTGGGCAAGAGTGAAAGTCGTTGATCATGGAGAGAATCTCTGGAGCTAGAAGACCCTCAACATTGAAGGCATAGTAGTGAAAGTTTTGTCTTTGTTGACTGGTGTTTGAACAAGGAAGTCACACCAGTTCTAGCAACTATTTATTTTTCTAACTTCCTGGTTTGGCTCTTTTGGGTGAAGGAATTAGCACTCATCACCATAAAGGGCTAAGGCTTCATGATTTCAGATATCTTCAGACACCAAGGGAGAGAAGATATTGATCACAACAATGACCCATATGACTTATCCAAGCACATTCTTTCAAGGTATAGTTCACTCAGGCACCATGTTTTCCAAATGGGTCATGACATGGCTCAATTCTCCTCAGTATTAGCCCATGTCTTTGCTCCATTGAATCTACCATTGGATGTTTCTGAACAAACTATATGACCTATCAGTTGACACAAACTGTATGTCTTATCAGTTGACACAAGCTGTATGCCCTATCATTTGACACAAACTGTATGCCTATCAGTTGACACAAACTGTATATTGTATCCTATCAGTTGACACAAGCTGTATGCCATATCAGTTGACACAAACTTTATACCCTATCCTATCAGTTGACACAAGCTGTATGCCCTATCAGTTGTCACAAGCTGTATGCCTATCAGTTGACACAAACTGTATACCCTATCCTATCAGTTGACACAAACTGTATACCCTATCAGTTGACACAAACTGTATGTCTTATCAGTTGACACAAGCTGTATGCCCTATCATTTGACACAAACTGTATGCCTATCAGTTGACACAAACTGTATATTGTATCCTATCAGTTGACACAAGCTGTATGCCATATCAGTTGACACAAACTTTATACCCTATCCTATCAGTTGACACAAGCTGTATGCCCTATCAGTTGTCACAAGCTGTATGCCTATCAGTTGACACAAACTGTATACCCTATCCTATCAGTTGTCACAAGCTGTATGCCCTATCAGTTGTCACAAGCTGTATGCCTATCAGTTTACATAAGCTGTATGCTCTATCAGTTGTCACAAACTGTATGCCTATCAGTTGACACAAACTGTACACCCTATCCTATCAGTTGACACAAGTTGTATGCCCTATCAGTTGTCATAAGCTGTATGCCTATTAGTTGACATAAGCTGTATGCTCTATCAGTTGTCACAAACTGTATGCCTATCAGTTGACACAAACTGTATACCCTATCCCATCAGTTGTCACAAGCTGTATGCCCTATCATTTGACACAAACTGTATGCCTATCAGTTGACACAAACTGTATACCATATCCTATCAGTTGACGCAAGCTGTATACCCTATCAGTTGACACAAAACTTTATACCCTATCCTATCAGTTGACACAAGCTGTATGCCCTATCAGTTGTCAATTGCTATATGCCTATCAGTTGACACAAACTGTATACGCTATCCTATCAGTTTACACAAGCTGTATGCCTTATCAGTTGTCAATTGCTATATGCCTATCAGTTGACACAAGCTGTATGCTCTATCAGTTGTCACAAACTGTATACCTATCAGTTGACACAAGCTGTATACCCTATCCTATCAGTTGACACAAGCTGTATGCCCTATCAGTTGTCAATTGCTGTATGCCTATCAATTGTCACAAGCTGTATGCCTGTCAGTTGTCACAAACTGTATGCCTATCAGTTGACACAAACTGTATACCCTATCCTATCAGTTGTCACAAGCTATATACCCTATCACTTGTCACAAGCTGTATACCCTATCATTTGACACAAACTGTATGCCTATCAGTTGACACAAATTTTATACGCTATCATATCAGTTGACACAAGCTGTATGCTGTATCAGTTGACACAAGCTATATGCCCTATCAGTTGACACAAGCTGTATGCCCTGTCTGTAGGCACAAGCTGTATGCTCTGTCTCTAGGCACAAACTGTATACATTAACAGTTGACAAACTGTTTCCAGTTTTAGTTTGTCAGTTCAGTCATGATGATGCAACCTGGTTTCATCTCAGACCTTTTTGCAGTTTCACAAAACTTCACAAAATGATTTTTTTTTCACCAAACATTCAGCATATTGAATACTGAATTTTGCCTTATTGCTGAGACAATTTTATTTAATTTATTTTTCAATAAATTTTGATACTAAAAGTGATTTTTACAGCCATTTCACTATCACTACCTTTGAAGAAGAAATATTAACATGGACTGGAGCTATCTGTAGATAATGCAAAATATCATGTTAAAGAGAAATTTTGAGTCCTTTAGTGAAATGGGGGCAGGTTGCTGCCTTTACTTCATCAAAAAATAGTAATTACTTCTGTCTCATTGATGGATCCATTGAGAAAGGCAAGGCAACAGTTTGATTCCAGGTATTGGACAGGCATTCGGCTGGCATTCAGCCCTCTCCATTTTCTCTGTGATAATGCTATACATTACAAGAATTGAATGTCAGTGAGCATCAGGCAGCTGTCAAGACAGTCAGCAGAACCCAGTTCATGACAGCAGTCTTTCTCCAGGTATGGTGTTTATAACATTCCTGGATATCCAGAGAAACTTTTCATCAGTAAGACTGCACCTTCATACTCAACCCTACATGGAATATTGTGTGTTCTCCTGATTCTGGTTTCAAAACATAACTGGACTAAAATTTGCTGGATTTCAACTAAAATTTGGTTAATGACTTCCGATTGATGACTGAATAAGTAAGTCCCATCTTTCCATGACCTAATTTACAGGAGTTGAGGTATCATCTGATAATTGTCTTCCTGACTTTGGTGTCACTTGATAAATCCTTTTTGTTTTCAGTCAGGATTGTAATGCAGTTTTATATGAATGAGACCTTAATGGCCTCTGATATGCAGTCACTCCAATAATGGCCTCTGATATGCAGGTACTCCTATAATGGCCTCTGATATGCAGGTACTCCTATAATGGCCTCCCTGATATGCAGGTACTCCTATAATGGCCTCTGATATGCAGGTACTCCTATAATGGCCTCTGATATGCAGGTAGTCCAATAATGGCCTATGATATGCAGGTACTCCTATAATGGCCTCTGATATGCAGGCACTCCTACAATGGCCTGATATGCAGGTACTTCTATAATGGCCTCTGATATGCAGGTACTCCAATAATGGCCTATGATATGCAGGTACTCCTATAATGGCCTATGATATCCAGGTACTCATATAATAGCCTCTGATATGCAGGTACTCCTATAATGGCCTCTGATATGCAGGTACTCCTATAATGGCCTCTGATATGCAGGTACTACTACAATGGCCTGATATGCAGGTACTTCTATAATGGCCTCTGATATGCAGGTACTCCAATAATGACCTTTGATATGCAGGTACTCCTATAATGGCCTCTGATATGCAGGTACTCCAATAATGGCCTCTAATATGCTGGTACTCCTATAATGGCCTCTGATATGCAGGTACTTCTAACGTTTTCTTTCTGCAGCACAGCATTATTAGAAATAGTTCATGCCAGCCAAAGGTGTTGTATCCAATTAGTTGGATTTCCAGTAATCAAAAACATCATCATTTAGAAGACCTCTGGCGCAAAATGACATTTCAAAACTTGATTTTTCCAACTAGACTTCTTGTGTTTAAGACAAGTAAATTATAGTGTAGATTCTTTTGCAATTCACCCATTACTACTAGCTCTAGTTTGATGAAGGCACATGGAAATAATTTTCCATGTTTGTTGATATTTTTATATAAAAACATGACCACAACAAAAGTAAGCAATCCTCAAAAATAAGCATGAGAAAATGTACTAATGAATAATATAAGATGTTACATTTTTTAAAATCTATTAGAGTATTTTATTCCAGCTAAATTTTATTGATATTTTGGGAATTTATTTTCATGAATCATAAGTCCATATCAATAGTATCTTTTTTGCTACACTTTAAAGAAATGCAGTCATGGAGATTGGTGGGGAAAACTGGTTGTAAATTCCTGTTCGCTGTGCAAGATTTCAAAATGCTACAGTTTTTAAGAACACAATTTTAAAATATGAATTGCATACTGAGTGGTACTTTTACAGAGACTGAAAATTTTGAACTAAATGTCTTCTCAGCTTGACTTGCAGCATTGAATGAAGAAATTCACCCACAATTATAAAATTCACACAAGAGTTACATCCATTTGTTTCAGTTATGAAAAACCAGGAAGATGCATACAGCATGGAGACAAAATCCTTACAACAGGTAATACAATGTACTCATTTAGTAATAATGCATTTACATTTCCTCAATATTGCATTATGTCAGCAATGTGTTTGTGTGTGTGTGTGTTTGTGTGAGAGAGAGAGAGAGAGAGAGAGAGAGAGAGAGAGAGAGAGAGAGAGAGAGAGAGAGAGAGAGAGAGAGAGAGAGAGAGATTTTTAACATAGCTTTAACAATTTTTCAGTCATATCACTACAATGTCTGCAATGTGACACTTTATAGAATTGTTTAGTACTGGGGCACTATGCCAAACACATGTAACATCATGTCCCATCCAGTCACATTATCCTGATATCAGGCCCACCAGTCCTAACACTAATAATCTATTAATGCTGACCTAGTGAGTCAGCTGTTAGTACCATTTTTAAAAGTCTTTGGTACGATTTGGCCAGGGTTCGAACCTGCACCCTCCTGTATCTAAGGCAGATGTTCTGCCATTAGGCCACTGGAGCAGTCCAAATGAATCAAGGCAAGGGAATGAAATCTTGGGCAAAGGAAATATCATGGAAAGCAGGAAAAGAGAGAGACTATGATTACAGACTTTTGTTTTCTTTTATTTGGCAACCTGTTCTGTGATTTGATCCAGACACTAAAAACATGTTCTCATTGATTGTTGTTTGTTCTTGGGTGTGCTTACCCCTAGCAACCTGAGTTGATCTCGGAACCAAAAGACATGACAGATCAATGCTAGACATACATGTTCTTGTATTTTTCAACTCCCACCTCACTCAGAGGTTGTGGGTCATGTCATCTCAAGATTGAAGTTCTTGGCCATAGGACAATAAGAACTACAAGAACATTGTATTGGGGTTAAGAACCTTCTTTTCTATCTTGCCAAAAGACACACTTTTTCCGTAAGTTTTATACTGGCAATACAAGAGATTTTAAGGAATTTTGCCATCAATAAAACTGATGCATTTATAAATATTGATTCATCATTAAATTTATTGACCATAAATAATGGACACTTGATTGCTATCATATTGTGTATGAAACGGATTATGCAGTTTACATGGGGTATCAATCTTTTGATATGCATTATGTCTTAGTATAAACATTTTTCTTACGCTATGTTCAAAACGTCTTGTACATGTACTTTTTCTGTTTATTTTATAGTAACTGATTGCACATTAAAATTGTAACTTTTTTGATGAATGGTAATAATGTATATGTTCTATTTACTTGACAGTTGTACTCAGAAATGAGTGGACGATATGAGATTTCTAAGAAAACAGAAGCTGAGCTACGAAGTCGAGTGTTGGCTTTGAAAAAGGTCCCTATTGTTTTCTTTCTCTGTTGATCTCTCTCTCTCTCTCTCTCTCTCTCTCTCTCTCTCTCTCTCTCTCTCTCTCTCTAACTCTCTCTTTCTCTGTCTGTCTCTTTCTCTCTCTCTCTCTCTCTCTCTCTCTCTCTCTCTCTCTCTCTCAAAAAATGTGTATGAACTGCACTCCATTATGCTGATCTTTCTTTGTTTGATGGAGAAATTCTTGATGACATTTGTGTGAATTGTTTTGCCAGTCTTCAAAATATTTGATTTGCTCTCTGTCTTATTTAAAACATTCCTTTTCCAAAAAAAACTGTTTTATTTATAAAATCAACTTTAAATAAAATCTTATTAAGTTCTTTGAAAGGACTAATATTGCACAAAAACATAATAAATTATGCACTGGAGAGTTTACAAATTAAGTATTTAAAAAATGTTTAAGATAGAAAGTGTTTACTAGATTGAATGAGATTTTCCTTATTCCAGTACATTTTTACTGGCATTTTTTAAGAATTTGTAAATCAAAAGTAAAATAATTTGTGCCAAATATAAGCAGCCATGTCAGAAACTTTTCTCATTGCTGGAATAACTTTGCCAGGTTCAACTAGACTGAGTAGGAATGCTTGTTTCAACTAGACTGGGTAGGAATGCTTGATTGAGCACAGATTATAGTACAGTATTGTATGCTCTATGTCAATACATGATTGCTTGAGTACAGGGTATGATATGCTCTATTTTCTTCATGAGTGTTTGTGTACAGTGTATCATATGCTCTATGTCCCACATGATTATAGGGTATGATATGCTCTACTTTATTCATGAGTGTTTGTGTACAGTGTATCACATGCTCTATGTCCAACAGGAGTGCAGGGTATGATATTCCTACTTCCTTTATGAGTGTTTGTGTAGTTTATCATATGCTCTATGTCCCACATGAGTACAGGGTATGATATGCTCTACTTCGTGAGTGTTTATGTACAGTGTATCATCTGCTCTATGTCCCACATGAGTACAGTTTATGGTATGCTGTATTTCCTACATTAGTGCTCGAGTACAGTGTATGGTGTGCTCTTTATCCCACACATTTGCTGTATAATTCTCAAAGAGTTATGTAACGTGTGGTTTATTCTGTAACAATTCATACATAAATCACTGTGGTGAAGCTTTTAAAATGGATATACTTTTATGCATTATTAGAACCTCACAGGTTCTCTACAGTGACTGCATTCAGACTGCTATCCAGATTTTGTAATTGATTTGTTACTAGAGAGAAACAGATTATTTACCTTGAATCAGCCAGTATGGTGGACTTTGCACTAGGTCATTAATCATCTTTAATGACACACATTACACTGCAAGATTATGTATTGGTAACTTTGATCTATGGCAAATGCTGGAAAAATTACTTGAATGACAGTTTGCCCATGATCCATCTTTTCATTATGTGATGGCAGTCCCCAGTGTTAGCAATGGTATTTGTTTTAGGGTACAAGAGGTTTTAGTGCAGTGGCAAGTGACAGCTCTAATTTAATGTATGTGGTACCTTACAAAATGGGTTTTAACACAAAAGTCACAGAGGAGCATTGAGGGATTTGGGATATCAAAGAGGTTCATGCAATTTGACAGTTTAACATGGAAATGGCTAACGTACCAAAAATAAATATCCTAGAGTGTTTATTCATGAGACAACTACTAATGTAAGCAAAGTTATACATCATATTGGTATGGGACTTAAGTGGTATTCAATTTTGGCTTGGCGACAGTTTTCTGTGAAAAGCTATTTTGGCCCTGTTTCCTAACTGTGTTTGTTTCCCCAGAGACTTCAGAGCAGAATTGATGATTATCAAAAGGAACAAGTATATATTCCTGGACTGCTTTTTATGCCATCTGTTTGACACATACATGAAAATTGGTAGCATAAATATCATTCTCAAGTTACTGATGTTTATATTTCAATATACACCAACAAGAATGCTTATTCAGGGAATGTCCTGTACAGAACCAGGGTAATAAAACTCTGAATGCAATTAGATTGTCCTGAGTTTTAGCGGCTTTGTTGGACCTCTGTGGAATTGTCACGCTACTGGCTGAGAGTGATACTGTTGCATGTTGCCTCATGGGACCACTCATCCAGGAACACTTAATAAGTTTATGACAACTTGTTCATGTTGTAACTTCTGATAGTATTATGGATCTGGATGGGAGATAAACATATTGATCAAAACAATGTTATAATGAAAATTTGAGTAGCATTATTGATATTACTGTCTTTTAACCCACTCTTGTCCCTGTTAATAACAAAGAACAAATAAAATGACTTGTGTGCACCAAAATGCACTGCAACCAGTCTTAAAAGACACTTTTATTTGGAGAAAACCAGTCTATATAGGACACTATTGGGAATCTTAACTTATAGTCCATATACAATTTATATAAAACACCACCTATATAACTATCATGCATGTGGGAAATTTTTTGTCCCAAATGTCTGTTTTTGCTGTGTATAAATGTACTGAGGCCTCTTCATAGAGTGATAAAGCTTTTCAAATTCTCATAAGATGGTTGCAAGTTGTGCACTTGTTAACTTACTAATGCTGTATTTTGGGGATTGTAAAAAAAAATATTTCCAAATATATTGAACAATGAATCAGCTTTTGCTAGAGATTATTCATGTATATTGTTACTCCTCTATGCTTAAACTAAGTAACAAAAAGAAATTAAACCAACAACTTTTGTAAAATTCAGTAAACAATTTATTTCCCAAATATCATACACAAAGTGAAAATTCTAATGACACTTCCATTTTTGTGAATTGAATTGTATATAATCTAAAATATTCTATCCCATGTCCAAAAGTATAAGATATTCTCTATGATATTCAAGATTGATGTATCACAATGATATAATCTAGAATGTCTTTAAATGAATTCAAATTAATCCCTAAGTAGTGTTTAGTATAAAGTCAATGAGCACTTTGTAATTGCAGGGAATAATTTAAATAAATGATTCCTCTCAGGTTATATCCGAATACAACTAAAAACTCTGATCAAAGACTTATATAAAACAGGAATGAATAATTGTTTACTAAAACCTCATTGTATTGTATGATATGTAATTTAATTGCTTGTGTGTTAGTTTTAAATTCTTTTGCATTTGATTTTTATTTCATTACATGTTATTGTAATGATAACTTTATTTTTACTTGATTTGACTTTTTTAAAAATTCAGTTCAGTTCTTTTAATAATCATTATTGCTACATTGTAACATTGTATATTTAGTTGACCTAGTTCTTGACCTTAATTCAAAATTGGTAAACAGAGTAAAAATCATTGGTCATCTTTGGCTTGCATGTCAACTCTGTTGTAAACAACTTTTTTATTTTTTTATTTTTAAATATTGAATCTTACAGTAAGATTTATTAGGTAGAATAAAATCCGACCATGGCATTTGAGTCGTTTGTCTGGTCTTAATGTGCCATTCAAATTAAGTGACCACATGACCCCATTATGTGATCCAAAACTGCATTTGAAACTAACTCTTTTAGTAATTGAATTCATTCATAAATTGACATGTCTGGAGCACAATGGTACTTTGTGTTGTGACCAGTTCATGTTAAATTTTTTCTTTCAAATAATTTATTAGCCCAGGAAAGTACTTGTGTTCATCAGAATTGTTGGACATAGACATTTATTTTAAATTATTCAGAATTCTAAAGACAGAATTATATTCTTAGACATTTATTTGAAATTATTCAGAATTCTATAGCTGGAATATTATTCTTGATTCATAAAATTCAACAAGGAACTGTTAACACAACAGTACAAAACATGATATAGAAGATGTCATCACCTTCCATCTTGGTACTTCATCTGGATTTAAACTTTGATTCATTTAGAAATGTTTTGGATTAGATTCAAAAACCGTAAGACCTTTTTCATATTTTTACTTTGTTTTCTAGGGAAACAAATTATTTTGTTAAATTTTACAAAGCTTGTTGGCTTCACTCTTCTTTTGTTACTTTGTACGAGCCTAGACATGTAACAGTATTCAGACTGTCACCTCATTTATGGCAACTGAATGTTATGTGAAACTAATGGTTCCTGAAAGAAAAATTTCACTATTTTGTAAATAATCTAAGAACTGTAACTTAAATTCAGTTGTCAAGTTTCCAAAACTTTCCCTA